TAAAGTTTATTTTTAAAAGTTATTTTTATATTTAAGTGGAGAGCTTTCATTTTTGAAATTTCTTCACATGGGTTGAATTGTGGCCCACATAAAGATAAAGTGAGGACTTAAGGTCCAGAACCTCAGAAGCTTATTTGGAAACAGGGTTATTGTAGATGTATTTAGTAAACTTAAGGTCATAATGGAGTAGGATGGGCCTCTAATCCAATATGACAGGTGTCCTGCTATGAAGATGGCTATGTGAAGACAGAAACATAGGGAGACCAGCATGTAAAGATGAGGCAGAGATTGGAGTGATGCATCTACAAGCTAAGAAACCCCAAAGGTTGCCAGTGGTCACCACCACCTGGACAAGAGAATAGATTATCTCGGAATAGATTCTCCCTCAGAGCCCCCAGAAGGAACCACTCCTGCTGACACCTTGATCTTGGACAAGACAACACATTTTTGTTGTATGAAGCCACCCAGTTTGTGGGACTGTACTATGGCAGCCCTGGAAAGCTAATACAGATGGTAAATTATTTGAGGGCCATTCGTAGCCCAGAAGATAGGTAAAGAATTTATAATAACACTATCTTATTTCCATTTAGTGCTTATAGTCAACATACCACTTTCATTTTATTTCCACAACTACCCTGTGGCATAAGTAAAAGTTTTCTCACTTTAGGGGGAAATGGAGGCTTGAAAGTTATCAGTCACTCAACTGGCAAACACTTTAACCGGCCTTTCCTCTTTCATCTATATCACAGCAGCTTTGCTTAGGCCAGTTAGTGGCTCTTCCTGTTATATTTGCACTTTTCTCAGAGGAGTAAGGTGGTCCACTGAGGAATAAGAATCCTTTTGCTTCTTAATATGTAGCTTGCTTTCAACATGATGTAGTTTTTTACTCAGCAACCTTGCCCTTCCTGGCTCACATCTCCCTGGAGTTCTAAGTAGTCCTCTCAGGGGGGCTCCCTTTCGGCTCTAGAGAAATAAGACCAGTGTCAGTCTGACCTCTGTAAAGTTCTCACACATGAACAGAAGCTCTGAGTTCTGACAAGAGTCCAGATGGCCTTCTGGGGTGGGAGGGAGTGAGGGTATCTTGGCAGCCCTGTTCTGACTGATTTGGGGGTCACTGTTGGAATATCCACTGGGATGGTACCTACTCATAGCCAAGGCCTTGTTAGTCATAGGCGCAAGGCTATGAGAACATGAAAGAGACACAATAAAAGACTGTCTGTGGTTCATGGCAGCACCATTCAACCTCACATGACCTACTTCAACCAAAAGAGTTCTGTCTTCCTTTCTTATGCCTTGCACTGTGAAATATCTGTCTTCATCAAGTAGCAACAAAAGCAATGCATCACAGTGTAATAAAATGTCTGCCACGGCGCTAAGAAAAGCCTTGAAAATGAATACTTTCAGACCTGAGTTCCATATTCTACTCACAAGGAGAAGTCATTAATCATTTATTGTTTTGCCCATTTGACTTACTGAAAGTTTTATGTATCCAAATTTCAAATACCACTCTTGGGCGGTCAGCCAGACCCTTATCTTCACAAAATGTACTCCTGAGAGAATTCCTGAGATCTGCGTTGGCTATCGCCCAGCTTGGACAACTCCTCAGTATAAAATAACCTCATTTCCCTGGCCTCTTTTTTGTTCAGGAAATTTGGAACTTTCCCAGTGGGCAGCAGAAACTCAGAATTTGTTCTATCCAGAGACTCTCAAATTGAATTCCAAACACTATCCTTCTTCAAGTTTGTATTTTCCTCTTTTTATCCCAGCCATCCTTGCTCCCTTTCTGTTCCTGCTACACCATGGAAATGCTGCTGCCTTAGAATCCTTTTTCCTGGGCTTTGCTAAAATGCCAACTTCTCAATGAGACCTATCCCAATCAGCTATCTAACCATATGTGTCTCTCCCTCCTGCTAGAATGGAAGCTCCCTGATGGCAGGGATCTCTGTCTGTTTTATTCACAGGGGACTCTTCAAAAGCCTAATGTAGTACCTGGCACATAGTAAGTGCTTAATAAATAGTTGTTAAGTGAATAAATGGTAACAACCAGTTTTGGAAGACCAAAGAGTCTTAAGGATAAAAGAGACTTTAGGAAGCATTTGACTACATGGTGAGAAACAACCCCCCACTCTCTCAAGAGTCAATTAAAGAAAAAAAAGGCTGGGCTTGGTGACTCATGCCTATAATCCCAGCACTTGGGGAGACTGAGGTGAGAGGATTGCCTGAGCTCACAGGTTCGAGAACAGCCTGGGAAACTTGGCGAGACTTCATCTCTACAATAAATAAAAAAAATTAGTTGGACATGGTGGAGTGTGCCTGTGGTTTCAGCTACTTGGAAGGCTGAGGTGGAAGGTTCCCCTGGGCCCAGCAGGTCGAGGCTACAGTGGCCGTGAGCAGCATTCCAGCCTGGGCACCAGAGTGAGACTCCAACTCAAAAACAAAACAAAACAAACAGCAAAAAAACCCAAAACAAACCAACAAAAAGATTTATAGGCAGATTTTTTTTTCCATTCAAAGGTAAATCCCATGTATGTTCTTAAATCTTAACTATCTACTTTATTACAAAGAAGAATGTAATAAAGATGAGAAGGTGTGGGCAGAGTTGAGAAGCAGCAAGTGCTCATCATTGGCCACCAGAAACAATCATGCCATTGTATAGAGGAGGCAGACATTGCTCAGAGAAGAGAAGACATTTTCTTTTTCTCATGGTCACATGGCTGATGAGAAACAGATTCAATGGTAGATCTGAGATGCCCTGGCTTCCATTTAGCGTCCTTTCCACCATCAGCAGCAGAAGAATCACAAAATAAGGCTTTAATGCTTTTCTGCTCCATTGAGCTTAAATGAACTTCGGATACACTAATGTAGAATCAGTGGATGTCTGCTCATTGTGAATCCATAAACACTTGTGGAAATCAGAATTGTTTCTTGCCTTTAGTATAATGTTACTGTAATTGTCCTATCAGCGACTGCAAGCATCCCACCTCCTTCTGCTCCATGGATTATTAATATGACCTAACAATTAATAAGTACTGATAATGTATGGATGTTACTCCAATAGCCTGAGGCCCAGAAGGGCTCTGTAACTCCACCCATTCAACCTGTCTGGGCTAAATGTGCCTATCTCTAGCCTGACCTTTGACACTGGATTGGAATGACCTCTTCTATTGCTGGACTTTCACTTTTTGAGTTGTTATTCTCTATTGATAGTATTGCCTATAAATAGACCCATATAGGTTTATAAGGTCAGACCTTATAAACCTGTACTATATATTCAGGCCATTTAATGAGCTGGTAATGTACTTTTATTTAAGTACCCTGTTTGAATATCAATATATTTGTTACCACCCAATGAGTACTATGATTTGGAGGATGAAGTTATTTTCAAAACTCTTTGTCTTTGTTTATTTAATTGGATTAAGTATGTCTGTTCAAAATGTCTGCACTGATGATTGAAAATGCCCCAAAGCCATTGCTTTTCTAGTCAGTCACTCAGAACTCTACTGCTTTAAGCAAAACTCTAACAATACAATTGTTCCACCATTACTCTCCATTAAATCTGTCAATCACAGTTCATCAAAAATATTCAGTGTAACATGACAAGCTACTCTAGAAAGCAGAATGCCATAGAGTCCCTACCCTTAGGAAGCCTGCAGCCTACTCCAAGAGATTAGAGGAGAGAGACCAAAAGAGGTAGTAAATAGAGAGTTCTAGATAAATGGTTTAGATAGTAAGATAAGGGATAAGGGAGTGACCAAGGAAGACATAAATGTTGGGGCCAAATAGTCTTCATCATACTTTTAATTTGACATATAGACTCTCTCTGTCTTAATTTTAGTTTCTCTGGAATCCAAGAAATCCAAAGTTTTCTTGAACTTCTTAAATTTGTAACCATCTTCCAGGATTTTGTTCTCTCATCTTGTGGAATGTAGGTCACCAGCCTGGGCTAAAGAAATCCACTTAGGTTCATTTGACAGATCAGAAGCACACTTTCTATTTTCCATCTGTCATGTAGAGAGTCAGGTAGGACTAAGTGTCCCTTTTCTCCTTGAATGATAAGGTTAGCGAATATATCTATGTATAATAACTACTTTTGTGTCTACCACATTCATTGTCCTTAACTAATAAAAATGTTCACTCATCCAAAGGAAAGGAAAACATTTCATATATCCAAATGTTGGGCTTTTGGGCAGGGGGGGTTTGGAGTCTCACTTGGTTGCCCAAAATGGAGTGCAATGGCATGCCCACAGCTACCGCAGCACCACACCTGGCTAATTTTTTGATTTATCATAGGATAGAGTCTCACCAAGTTGCCCAGGCTGGTCTCGAACTCCTAGGTTCAGGTAATACTTTTGATTCTACTTTCCAAAGTGCTATGATTATAGGTTCTCTGTGCCTGGCCTAAATGTAAGAACTGGTGGCTCACGCCTGTAATCCCAACACTTTGGGAGGCAGAGGTGAGAGGATTACCTGAGCCTAGGGGTTTGAGACCAACCTGGACAACTTGGTGAGATCTCTTCTCACAAAGACATTTTGAATTTGGATCACCCGAGCTCAGGAGGTCAAGGCTGCGGTGGCCATGAGTGTGCCACTGCATTCCAGCCTGGGCGACAGAGTGAGACTCTGACTCAAAAAAAAAAAAAGAAATATACATTTTAAATTAAAAGTGTTTCAAAATTTCTTGAGTTTTCGTCATGAAATGTTAAAGATTTACTTGGTTTATTTTGAAGTCACTGTTAGTAATTTGATATTGTTGTGTGTCACTCACTCCTATGCTATATTTTCTTACCCATAAATCCACAGGAAACTACCAAGATTATTTTAAAGGAGTCAGTAAAACCTTGCTATGTCAATCAGAAAGGAATAGGATGGAGAGGTTTGTCTTTCTCAGATGATTTAGTCTCTTCTGAAAGCAGAGAACTTAACTCATTTAGGCCCTTTAGTCTCTAACAGAATCATTAAATCTGTTAATAGTTAAAACTAGTTGTAATTTACAGACTTACTTGTCAACATATTCAACGAGATCTGTAGAATTCTTGGTTGACATTTTGACTGGAGAAAATCTTACCTAAAACAAAGGTCACAGATTCACAATATATATGCTACTTTACAAGTTACTCTTATTCACTTTATCCTTATATAAATGCTTTAATTTTAATTTTAATATTTTTAATTTTTATTTTTAGAGATGGGGTTTCACTGTGTTGCCCAACCTGGTCTCAAACTCCTGGACTAAAGCAATCCTCCTGGCTCAACCTCCCAAAGTGTTGGAATTACAGGTGGGAGCCACCACATCTGGCCTGAATGTGTTAATTTTAAACAAAATGTATATTATTGCTCATAGAGGCTTAGTCCAATTAATCTTGCACATGCTCCCATTGGATTGATAATGACTAAATCCAAAATTAAGTTCTGGGGAGATATTAGAGGGTTGCATTTCATAGATTCAGTATCACAGTCAGGAAAACTTTTTGGAAAAGACAAAGTCATAGATTATTCTTAGATAATTTTTAAATGAACTATTCAGTGTTATTGACTAAGTTACTAAAGGAGTCCTCCCAGAATGAATTATTCCTGACATACTGAAACTAGAAAACTAGTCTATCCAAGTACCTAGATGTCAAATTACTGTAGTCAATGAGAAATAAAAGCACAGAGCACAGCCATATGCATAATTTACAAGTATTACACATAGCTGGCCATATGCGTGTGTAGCTGACAAATTCTAATCCAATAAAATGGTACTACTAGAAAGTTCTATTTTCATGAGAGTTGATAATTTGTAGCATGTCTATGATAGGAAAGAGAAAACCAAATGTGCTTGCTGTTTTGCATATGCTGAAAATGCTTTAAACTTGAACATTCTTTTGTTTTTTAAGTATGAGAAATGAAACACAGACTTATCCTAGTTTTAATATCCTATCACTGAACTGAGTTCAATAGGGAGAATATGAGTGATATTCCTCCTCAGTTAAAAACTTAAACAGAATATATTCCTAGGATTTTTCTTTTTTGCTTTATGTAACTATGTACTATAATGGTGAGCAGAATATGTTAAGATCCACATACAACATTGGTTTCTCAAGTGCCTAAGGAACTACCACCTCTTTTTTTTTTTTTTAGAAAGCAGGATTTATTGAGAGGACAGAAAAGCTCCCACAATGGGAGGGGGACCCAAAGGCTTGCCCGGAACGACCACTTTTTAACTTAAGGCTTAAGAAATGTAACTGAAAACCTCCCTCCTCCAAAAATGTCGGAAAAAAAATATCCATTATCAATGAAGCTACTAGAGAACACCTGACAAAGCCTCTCCTGTCCTGGCCCACTTAGTGACTGGCAACCAGAGCAGGCTCCAGGCTACTATGATAGTGCTCTAGTCCTCTCCCCGTTCCTGAATGAGGTCTTCAATGCATCTAATGCTCTTAAGCCTCGTCTCCCCCCAGAGAACTGGGCACTCAGGTGTGGATTATGGAAACCATCCTAAATCCCTAAAGGACCTGACTGCCTGTCTGTCCTTGTATGTGATTCTACTCTGCCTACTGGAACAGTACGGGGCCCTGGGATCCTCACCTACTTCATGACAGTTATTTATTTATTTATTTGAGACGGGATCTTGCTCTGTCACCCAGACTGGAGTGCAGTGGTGCAACCATAGTTCACTTCAGCCTCAAACTCCTGGGACTCAAGTGAGATCCTCCCATCTCAGCCTCCTGAGTAGCTGGGACTAGGCTGTGCTACCACACTTGGCTAATTTTTTAATTTTTGTAGAGAGGGTGTTTTGCTATATTGCCTAGACTGGTCTTGACCTCCTAGGCTCCAGCAATCCTCCCATCTCGGTCTCCCAAAATGCTGGGACTACAAGCATGTGCCATGACACCAGTTCTTACCCTCTCACCTTCACAGCTCTCTGCAGCAACTAGTTAGTCCCCGCCTTATATGTTTGATAACCAGTAGCCTCCTCTAAGTATTTGTGATATTAAAGAGTACCATGAATATATTGTCCCAGGGCACTAAATTACTGGGTCATTGTGGTTCTTTCTCTTCTGGAGTGACAGTTGAATATATATATTTTTAAATCATTTTAAATTCTTGTTTAGAAGATCATAAGTAGCATCCTCTTAAAAACACTATGATGCATACTTTCAAAATGACAAATGCTAAACTCAACGATGGCTAAAAATGTGGAAAAATATAAAAAAGTAAAAGATACAGAAAAATAATTCTCATACCTACCTCCTATAACAAAAAAGCTTTTAACACTGTGGAACAATTATTTTCTTTTTAGTGCAATTTTTATGTATCTAAGACAATATTTCAATATTTATATTTATGCTAATTAAATATAGGAGTCAGTTCTGTTCTCTCTCTCTTACAGGCTAGGATGTTACATATAAAAATTGTCTCACAGGCAAAGAACTTGGCAGTTATTGTGAATTTATTTTACCTGTGTTAGTTTTCTCCTATTTCATAATAATATTTTAAAATATTATAGTTCTTTTTCAGTTTATGGACCATAAAATACCTTTCTGTATATGATGAGATTTCGTTCTTTCAACAGCTCTATAAGATGGACATCATTATCTTCACATAAGTGTAAGATAACATTAGTTACCTTATGTGACTGAAATCCTTCCTTATTACAGAATTTAAGATGGTTTTTTTTTATAGTTGAGGAACTTGAAGATCAGAGAAGAAATTGACTTGTTCAAGATCATGTAGATGATGATAGTAATCATACAGTGGCTATTGACTGGACTCTTGCTCCCTGCAAAGTTCTTTTCTTAAGTGGCTCATTCAAACCCCACAATAACTTTGTATGATACCCCAATTTATAGAAGAGGAACCAGAGAGGTTAAGTAGTCATCCAAAACCCCACAGCTAGAGTGTGGTAGAGCGAATACCTACCAAAAACTGGTGCTTGATACTGTGCTCTTTCCAGAACAAGAGGCTACATTAGCCAGCCAGGTGTTATGAGAATTACTTTAATAAAAAGAAAGAAAGAAAAAAAAGAAAGAAAGAAAGAAAGGAAGGAAGGAAGGAAGGAAGGAAGGAAGGAAAGAAAGAAAGAGAAAGAAAGAAAGAAAGAAAGAAAAAGATCTAAAACACTGCTTGCTTTGAATGTTTTTTATAATTAATAGAGAAGATGTAACAAGTACCAATAAGAAACAATCTCTTTTTCATGTTAGAGTTGAAGTCTACACTTCAGCTGATCACGTTGTCAAGGCAGAACAAATAGGAAATGTGGGAAGAGTGAAAAGAACAACCATTCTTCCAGGACTCCTTAGAACTCTCTAGGCAACCCTAAGCTTTAAAGAAGCTGAGCAAAATAGTCTGTCTTTCATGTGAATATCGAAAAATACTTGCTTGTTTTTGTTGGTCACTGGCTGAGCCAGGAAGGGGGCCATCAGGTTCCTCTGGCTGTTCCTGGGCAATTGGGGAGGCACTTGGAGAGGCACTTTTGTTTACATCTGTATCTAGGCAACCAGAATGCTGCATCAGATTAGGAACTATGGCAAGTGAAATTTTGCAGTGATGGTAATTTTTTTTTTTAATTGAAGGTAAGCTTAAACTGAGGTTTCCAGTTTGTTTTACACTTCTCCCCCTGACCTCTTCCCCTACCCCAATCCTCCCCCACTGCCCCATAACAACTATTGTCAGCCAGAAGAGCATGTTCTCACAGGTACTTCCAAAAGCCATTTGGAAACTTGGGGCGGGGGTGGGGTGGGGAGGCATGGCCTTTGGCTCCCTAAAGGTTTGCTGAAAAATCACTGACATTAAGCAAGGTTGATTAGTAAGAGAAAAGACATACACATTTTAACATGTACACACAAGAGTTTTCAGAATAAAGACCCGATACACTTCCCAATGAATTATAGAAACTCAAATACTATCTGGAGGTTACAGGAAGAACCAGGGTTTGCATTCTGGTAAAGTTATGGGAGGGGGAGGAAGAGGCATTCTATTGAGGGGGAACACATGGTTGGGGAGTGAATGGATGGGGGAAACAGAATGATTTGCAGAGTTATCTTTGGAAGTTGAATGAACCTGAGGGACAGGCATAATACTGGCAAGGTCTGCTCTGGTGTGGTCTTACCTTGCTCTTCTTTTCTGCAATAGATAGTAACAGGGAGGGCAAGTAGCTTCTCGGTAACTAAGTGGAGGCAGGAAGGTCAGAGAGATCTTGTGGCAAAAAAGCCATATTTTGGGGTAAATTTTCCTGCAGCACTTCAGAATCTTGTTAAGATCAAACAGTTCTAAAATAATAGGGAATGATTTTGTTTTATCCTATTGAGCCCGAGACAGCTGAAGGTTGCCTTTGGATTTATTACTTTGTTTATATGCAATAAGACACACGAGGAAGATAGTGAAGTATGAGACATTTAGACACCTTGAGTAGCTTATGAGATAAGTACCTGAACTCATGACGCTTGATTTTCCAGCTTTATTTTTTGTTGATTTGATTTTTTAAAAAGAAAACAGATTTTGTTTCCTTTTTTCTTAGAAAGGCAGAGTACTAAGGAATCTTGATTGCGTCCTAACTAAAGTCTTCATGTCTCTGGAGCATTTTCCCAAGGATGAGTTAGTAGCATTGTGACGGCAGGATGGATCTGTGATGTCGGTGGGGTTGACAGTCCAGTCATTAACTCCCTGGGATTTAAGAGCTTTGAAGATTCTCCTTAATGCTCATTGTCTTAAAAATCACTAGGCCCTTCAATTCTTTGTTTCACAAGTTGGGAAGTGGTCATTGTTAAACTGATGTTTCACAGCCTTCCCTTGATTTCATTTTTTTTTAAAACAAAGTTTATTAAAAATAAAGAGAGAATAGAAAGAGAGACATGCCAGAGCTGGCATGGACGAAAGAAACTGCTGGTTTCATCCTCACAGTTTGATAAGAGACTGGTTACCATCAAATTAGGCAAAGAAAAAATGAAATGCGGCGCTACTTCCAGATCTTTCTCTAAGTATGCTAGCAAAGAAGCTAACTCTTCTAGCCACTAGGGGAGTATCACAAACAATGTAGCAATAATGACTGGTGACGAGGGTCTGGGTTTTATATAAATAAAAATATTGAACTTTGACTTTGTAGAGGAAATTGTATTCAGCTATTTGGTCAAAAAATAGTAGACTGAACTCTAAAATAATTTTCTGAGTTTTAAAATTAGAATTTGCGTATTTTTAAATGCTACTTGACCCGCATATAAAAAATGATACTATTGGTTAAGTTATTGTCCAAATTATGTTAACAGATTTGCCTTGTTTCAATGTTCAGGATGCTAAGAGACAAATTTTGATCCCACAGATGAAGACCACACATGATTTTGGCCTCGTGATACATCCTTGAATGCTACGCTAAGCTCTTTGCAAGCAGGCCTGAAGGCACATGACACCACCCTACTCATCGTTTTTTAGTACCAAGGGAGACTAACACACACCAGTGACTGAGAATAGGTAACTATGGATTCTGAGGGAGTGTATTGGAACACTGACCCCCTCAGCCTACAGGTAAAATTCCATCATTTCTTCAAGCCTCAGCTTGCTCCTCTGTAAAATGAGCTAATAATATCTATCTCATAAGGTGTTTTAGAAGAGTAAATGTAATAATAATACACTGCAGTGCTCAGCTGAGCGTCAGGCCAGGAATTCACTAAAAGGTAACTATTATTAGTGATTCTTCCACAAGGTGCCAATTATCCAAGAAATAGATACAAGCAGGGGCTGTGTGAGAAAGAAAAGCTGAATTTAACCCTGCTTAAATTTTTGAGATTCTTTCTCTTTTTAAATTCAGCTTTTAGTCCATGGTATTTGGCTAGAAAAATAGGCCCCACTAAAAAGAACAGTCGAACCGGTTTGTTCTTTAAACATAAATGGCTATTCAATTGTTAACAGAACGACACACATCATATATACATACCACTGACTTCTGCTATGGGATGAATGTCTGTGTCAAAGAGCTTGTTTAAATGTAATTGCCATTGTAACAGTATTAAGAGATAGGTCCTTTAAAAGGTGATAAGGTCATGAGGGTAGCGCCCTCATGAATGAATTAAAACTGTTTTCTCAGGAGCATGTGAGTTAGTTATCTCAAAAGTGGACGTCTGATAGAAAGGATGAATTTGACTAATTTCTCTCTCTCTGTTTCCAACGTTCACTTGCCCTTCTGCCATGCTATGATACAGCCAGAAGACCCTACCACATGCAGTCCCTTGATCTTTTGACTTCCCAGCCTTCGGAACTGTGAGCCAAATAAATTTTTTCTTTATAAATTACCCAGTCAGTGGAATCCTGGTATAGCAGCAGAAAACAGGCTAAGACAACTTACTCCCTGCCTGAAATATGTATGTAAAATCCTTCCTGGAAGTCAATGATCTTCAAAGATGCTTCCTAATCTAGAGCTAATAAAAGTACAGAAATCATAAATGTTTGATTTTGACCTTAAAATTGACTTTCTATTTTGATATGTTTAACATAGACATAAAGAAATAAATCTGACATGGTGGTCAGTGAAAGGGGACAGTCAGTGTCAAGGGCGTGTTCTTTGCACACTACACAACCCTGGGGGCACCATTCACATGATAATACTGTAGATTTTCATGTTACAAAAATTTTTCAAGCATATGTCAGGAAATATCTCATTTTAACAAAGTAAGTAAATCAGGACAGTTTTCTGACAGGTGGAAGTAAAGGGTCTTGAGAAAGGGGCTGCTATTTTTAACTCTCACAAGGAGTCATGCCTTGTCAGTGACAGACTGCACATATGACAGCAAGACTAGGACTTTCATGGAGCTCAAACATTCCTATAGCCTAGGGATGCAGCCACCGTGATGCCATAGTGCAACACGTTACTCATGTGTTTGTGGTGATGCTGGTGTAAACAAACCTACTGCACTGCCAGTTGTATAAAAACATAGCACATATAATGATGTATAGGACATAATACTTGATAAGGAGAATAAACAACTATGCCACTGGTTTGTGTATATCCTTACTATACTTTTTATTGTTATTTTATTTTATTTAATTTACTTTTATTCTTAGTTGACACATAATAATTGTACATATTTATGGGATACAGAGAGATATTTTGATATATGTATACAATATGTAATGATCAATGAGTATATCCATAACCTTGATCATTTATCATTTACTTGTGTTGTGAACATTCAAAATCCTCTCTTCTATCTTTTTGAAAATATACAGAGTTATATAACCATATTCATTATATTCACCCTAAAATGCCTCAGAACTCACTCCTCCTTCATAGCTGGAATTTTATATTCATTAATCAATCTCACCCCTAAATCTTCCCTCTCCACTACCTTTCCAAGCCTCTACTACCTACAACTGTACTCTGCACTGCAATGAGCTCAACTTTTTTTTTTGCTCCCATACGTGAGTACATGCAGTATTTATCTTTCTGTTTCTATCTTACCTTGCTTAATGTGAAGTCCTTCAGACTCATCCATGTTGCTGCAAATGACAGAATTTAATTTTTTTAATAGCTGAATAATATTCCACTAAGTATACATACCACATTTTCTTTATCCATTCATGTGTTGATGGACTTTTGGTTTACTGTATATATTAGCCATTGCGAGTATTGCTGCAGTAAAAATGGGGGTGCAAGCATCCCTTAGATACGCTGATTTCCTTTCTTTAAGATAAATACCTAGTAGTGGGATGGCTTATCATATGGTAGTTCTATCTTTAGTTTTTTGAGAAACCTCCACCTTGATTTCCATTATGTCTGTACTCTTTCACATTCCCACAACAATGTATAAGAGTTGCCTTTTCTCTAATTCTTCACCAGCATTTGTTATTTTTGTCTTTTTGATAGTAGCTATTCTAATTGGAGTGAGATGATGTCTCTTTTTAGTTTTGATTTGCATTTCTCTGATAATTAGTGAGGTTGAGCATTTTTTCATTTACTCGTTGAACATTTGTATGAATACTTTTGGGAAATGTCTATTTAGAGCCTTTGCCCACTTTTTTTTTTTTTTTTGAGTTGGAGTCTCACTCAGTCGCCCAGTGGCCGCTCCCGGCCACTGCAGCCTCGACCTGCTGGGCTCCGGAGATCCTTCTGCCTCAGCCTTCCAAGTAGCTAGAACTACAGGTGCGCGCTACCATACCCGGCTAATTATTTTTGATTTACTGTAGAGATGAGGTCTCGCCAAGTTGCCCAGGTGGGTCTCAAACCCGTGGGCTCAGGCAATACACTCACCTCGGCCTCCCAAAGTGCTGGGATTACAGGTTGAGCCACCAAGCCCGGCCCCTTTGCCCACTTTTTAAGGAGAAGAAGGTCTTGTTATCATAAGTGACAGCTCCATACATATTATTGTCCCTGAAGACCTTCCAGTGGAACAAAATATGGAGGTGGAAAACAGTAATGTTGATAACACTGACCTTGTGCAGGCCTATACTAACACATTATTTGTGTCTTCATTTTTAGCAAAAAATTATAAAAAGTAAAAATGAAACTTTTTAAAGTAAAAAAAGCTTATAGGGTAAGGATATAAAGAAGGAAAATATTTTTGTACAGTTGTACAATATGTTTGTGTTTTAAGCTAAGTGTTATTACAAGAGTTAAAAAAATTAAAGTTGATAAAGGAAAAATTTTAGTAAGTTAAGGATAATTTGTTATTGAAGAAACAAAGTTTTGAAAACAAACTAGTGTAGTCTTAATATACTGTGATTATACAGCCTGCAGTAGTGTCTAGTAATGTCCTAGACCTTCCATGTCACCTACCACTCACTCACTGACTCACCCAGAACACCCTTCAGTCCTTCAAGTTCCATTCATGGTAAGTGCCCTATACAGGTGTACCTTTTTAAAATCATATATATATATTATAAAATATATGATTATAAAAATTAAAAATATATATTTTAATGTATCCTCTCTATACTTAGATGCATACATATTTACCATTGTGTTACAATTGCCTACAGTACTCAGAACAGTCACATGCTATGCTGTACAGGTTTGTAGCCTAGGAGTCATAGGCTATATCACATAGCCTAGCTGTGTAGTAGGGTAGACCATCTAGGTTTGTATAAGTGCACTCTATGATGTTTGCACAATGACGAAATCAGAACATGGTCCCATCCTTAAGTGACGCATGATTATATATTGGCCAGTGGCAGCCAGTACCTTGGGTGTCTGCTGACAACTCTGTTCTCAGCTGAACCAGCCTTAACCAGCTCTGGGCAAAAACAGACAGTAGTCATGAGCAGCCTGTGTCCTCCTTGACTCCCTTTTTTTTTTTTTGTCTTTCTTCCTGTACCTCACCCCTACCTGTTGCCTCAAGCTCCCTTAGACTGTCTTTCCTGGAAAGACCCCATTTTGGACTTGCCCCTCCTCTCCCCCCTTACCCCAGGGCCTTGCACTTTCCTTGTGCTATTCTAATTTTACTGGCTCTGATGTGTTCAGCACTTGATATTTATTTCAAGTCCCACCTCATGATTTTTATGAGGAAAGCGGCACAGGTGTGAATATCCTGACTGTAAAATAACGAGGAGGCTCAGAGAAGTTAAGTGACTCACATAAGTAAATGTTGAAACCCTGAGCAGACTGCAAG